GCCCCAGCCCCGCCGGTCGCTCGCCCCAGGCCCCGCTCCAGCGCTCCGGCCCCGCGCCCTCGGCGGGCGGCGCAGAGCGCGGGAGCTGTTGGGGCCGGGCATGCCGGGAGCCCCTGGAGCCGCCGCCGCCGCCCCCGCGTCCGCCGCCACCGCGTCCGCCGCCGGTGCGCGCCGCTGACGCGCGGAGATGAAATTCCCGGGCTCCGTGCTGGCGTCCGTGTTCCTGTTCGTGGCCGAGACGACGGCGGCGCTCTACCTGAGCAGCACCTACCGCTCGGGCGGGGACGGCATGTGGCAGGCGCTGACGCTGCTCTTCTCGCTGCTGCCCTGCGCGCTCGTGCAGCTCACGCTCCTCTTCGTGCACCGCGACTTCAGCCGCGACCGGCCGCTCGTCCTGCTGCTGCACCTGCTGCAGCTCGGGCCCCTCTTCAGGTGGGTGCGGGACCCCCGGCGGCGGGGGGCGGCCCTCCTGGGGAAGGCAGCGGTGGCCGGAGCCGGGGACCGGGCCCAGGCCGGCCCGGCCGCCTCCTCAGCCCCACCGTCCCTGTCACAGGAATGCGGCAGGATCCTGGGAGAGTGGGACTCAAGCCGGGGCGTACCGCCTTCCTGTTAGGGTCTTGCGCAGGAAACTGCCAGTAGTCCATTGAATTTGACCAACAGAAGGGTCAAGCTTTCCCTGAGATCAGGTGGGCAGGATGGGCTTGTGTCGTGACAGACCCTTGGGAAGTGGCTTCTAAATGGCCGTTAGAGCGGAAGCCTGTACAAGTGATTGAATTTAATTTAAATTGATCAAACACGTGGAGTTGACTTTGTGCCAGGCCCTGTTCTGAGCGCGTTACAAACATTAACTTATATAATTCTCAGACATGACCCTAGAAATCCACGCATCATTCTTTCCTCTGGGATGGTGGAACATACAGGGTTGTAGAGATGTCTTCGGGGCCCTGCCTGACTTCCACACGCACCCAGAGAAGCTGGAACACGGGTGCCGTGAAGACCAACACTTGGGGCGGTGTCAAGAAAAGAAAAACTATTAGTGACATTTCTGGAAATTTAGATTTATTAACACAAAGCAAGTAGAAAAATAACTTGCTGGTAATGAAGTAGAGTTTGGCTTATCTAAAGCCATGAAGAGAGTTTGAAATGTGTTGTTTTGATAGCTTTCATCTTTGTAGGAAAAGCAAAACAGAGGGTTTCTAACTGGATTAAGAACAAATTTATAATACTGATCTTTAGACCTAGATGGTACAGGAATTGGAAGAGGTAGAAAGGCCAGAGATGCACCCAGCTGCCAGAAAATTCAGCTAACCAGGAACCTTTCCTACCAGGAAATGTCTAACCCCCACCCCAACACACCACACAAACACACAGACGCACAGACACAGTCATGCAGCAAGATAGATTTTACAGAGCCCTATTATAAAACTTTGCACTTCATGTTAGAGACAGTTGTCCCAGCTGACACTCAGAATACTGATTTGTAGTTTACACATAGTCAGGACAAACTTGGTGAACAAGTTTCCCAGCCTCCAGAAGCCACAGAATCCTAGAAAGGAAGAGGAAGAGGTGCACTGGCAGGAGTAAGAAGTTGCTACTGACATCCTGAGAGCAAGGGAAGAGTTAGGGGGAAAAGAGAGTGAGAGCAAGAGTGAAGGGAATTTTTAAAGTCCTGCAACCTGGGACCATAGAGGGAGAAGTTAGTTCTCCCTGGCCATGTAGGCCACAGCTCCTGATCATATTCCCACTCAGTAAAATCATTGTGCTCTGACTTTGAACAAGACACACATCGTTTCTTAAGTTCATCTTGAGAAAAGAAAACTCATTGCTCACGATACTGAAGTAAAGTGACAGTGCGAGGGCAACCGGCTTTTCTCAAATGCTTCTTGTGCCATATGGTTTGGTAGGTAGGTGTTTCTGTCCCTCAGTTCGTTGAAGCCTCATCATGAAGTAGATGTAATTGTCCCCGTTTTATAGATGAGGAAAATGAGACCCCCAACCACATTTGGAAGGCTTCTCAGAAATGGAGTTGGCTTCATTATGTAGAAGAAGGCAGAGGAGCATGGGGTATATTTAATCAGTAGTTCTATCTTAAATTAAGACAGTTTGATCACCTTGGCGAAATTAAAAAACACAGCCTAAGTAAGCATCTGGGTAAATGATAATATCCCATCAGTATTGCCATTGAAAGTGTATCTAAGTACTGATAGTGATTCAAAACAAAGCTAAGGACATAACAGTATGTATAAAAACAGAATGGCACACAGAGACCTCAGTTCAAGGAAATATACCAAGTTGTTAAGAGGGATAATTTCTAGATGGTGGAGTTACGGGTGATTTGCATTTTCTCCTGAAAAATATAGAAAAGTGCATCCTTTTCTCCTTTATTATGTGTCTCTACATTTTTTAGTTTTTACAGTAAAATATTTTAACTTTAAAGAAAGAAAAAGTCTGGTGCATTGGAGAGAGAACTTCTCGGCCATATATAAAGTTTCAACACCATAAAGAGACCTATTTCCAGAAAAATCTGAATGGGTCATTGTCTTCTGGGGGGAAAACAAAATAAAACATAAAAAACAAAGGAACAAAACACCCACTTCCCGCTTCCCGCTTCCGTCACATTCTAAGGCAGCTGATTCATTTCAAGAAGATGTTGGACCCATGTTGAGATACACAAAATGCAGTTCCAAGCCTCTTAGCTTCCAGATGAAAAGAAAAGCAGTTTGATGTTGTGTATTAGCATGGCTTTGATATCTTATTGGAAGTTCTTCCTGCTGACTGTTTCTGTTTTAACTCTTAAGATATCAGCTTTACATAAAGATCAAAATTATTTCCCCCAAACAAAGAAGAGTCTCTTTTCCTTTCTTATCAATTGGACTTTGTAATATGTTGAAAATGTTTTTGGAAAATTTAGCTCTATTCAATTTTGGGTGTATACTAACTAGCCAAACTCCTGTTCTTTTCAGGTGAGATTTTTTTTTTTACATTACATTGTAATGATTATGGGCTGAACAGGACAAACTAGGCCCCGCTCCTTTTTTCCTTCAGGGAAGCATTGGGAGAGCATCATATTTCATTTCAATCAGTCTCCTGTTTAAAACAGTAGTTGCAGTTTGAAGGGTTGTTTCGTCATTAAGGGTAGGTTGGAATGACACGAACATTGAATAATGTCTTGAGTTAATTTTTTTTCTATTTTAAAGACAGTCTTACTGTGAATGATATTAGATATTCTGGAGAACCAGAGGGGGAAGAGCACCTCTTAACAACAATAACAAAATTTGTCCTTTTTTTAGAATTATTATAAACTAATTGGGAGAAGGGAGAAGAATGAGTTACAGGTTCAAGGACTTTTCCTCCATTCTTATTCACTGATCTAAGGAGGAAAAAATGGTACATAAAAATCTGGCTTTATAAAATAAATGCTAAGAAGTTCTAGTAATTTTTAAATTGAAGTATAGTTGATATACAATATTATAGAAGTTACAGGTGTACAATATAGTGATTCACAATTTTTAAGGATATACTCCATTTATAATTATTATAAAATATTGGCTATATTCCCCATGTTGTACAATATATCCTCGTAGTTTATTGTATGCCTAATAGTTTGTACCTCTTAATCTCCTACCCCTATATTGCCCCCCTCACTGGTGACCGTGAATTTGTTCTCTATATCTGTGAATCTAGTAATTTTTTCTAGGACATTGCAAAATGATTCACCATAGTATTTCTTTCTATAGTAAACTTTCAAAAGACTTTAAAATAATAATAGCCTAAATTTGAAGAGCTTTTTTGTTGTTTGCAAAGTGCTTTTACATACAGTATTTAATTCCATCCACTGTAAAACCTTGTGAGCTGTCATTATCTTTTTTTCACAGTTGAGAATTGAGGCTCAGTAAGATTATGCAAGTGGCCTTTCAAAGGTCACATGGCACTTTCTATTTAACCAGTTTGGTTCTTTTTTTTTTTTTAACCAGTTTGGTTCTTGTGTAGCTTCACAGAGCATGTGTGTCATATGAAGATAACGTGGCGTATAGGAAATCATAATCAGTATTCCTCTTGAAAACGTTTTTATTAATTACCTTAGAGGGTCTCTGGTACTGCAGATTATTTGTGCTGACACCAACATGCATGGTTTCAGCTAAAGGATAAACTTCCACTTTGGTACTTGAAAACAGGATAAAGTGAAAAAAAAAAAAAAGGATCAACCTGCTGATTACCTGCATAAGAGATCAGCAAACTATGCCCCACAGGCAAAAATCTCCCCGCTGCCTGTTTTTGTAAATAAAGTTTTGTTAGAACACAGCCATGCTCATTCATTTATGCATTGTCTATGGCTGTTTTGCATTACTGTGACCTGTAAAGCCTAAAATAAGTAGTCTTTGTAAATACTTTAAAGAAAATGTTTGCCAACCCTTGATCTACACAATACTGAAAAACTACCTTAAATGATTTTGATGAAAATAATTTATAGCTATATCTAGACAACCTCTCAAGCAAAACAAAGCAAAAAACAGATTTGGAGTAATTGGATGACTTGCAAAATTCCAAGAATAGTAGTGTATTTCTTACCAGTTTTCTTAACCAGTAGTGACAAATAGCAGAAATTTTTCACAAATGTATTAAACACCTACTATGTGTGATGCTCTGTGCTAAGATTTTTATTAGTTGGGAAAAACAGTGGATTGCAAGGGGATCCACCTGGGTTTCAGGGCCACCTCTGTGATCAGCTCATTCTGGGACCTTCTTTCATTTCTGTTGGTAGACAATGAAGTCTCGTTTTGTCTACAATTCTGCGGATGCTTTTCGTTTAACACAGCTCCCTCTTCAGCATCAAGAGAATTGCTTTCTCCTCTGAACCTTCATTTTACTCATTTAAGTCTTAGCATATGCTAGTGTTTTGTTTGTTTGAGTCTTTAAAAATTCTGAGTTTGATTTTATTATTCGGGTAAAACGTATTTCTCTTTCAAACGACAGAAGAGCAGGAAATAGATAAGCACAACTAAAAAAATTTAAAAGTTCTAATTTGACTCAAGAGAACAAGTCTTAGTGTTTTGTTATATATCTTTACTAAAATTTTTTTACAGCGGTAAGCTGGTAAACCATAAACTGTCTCTTAAGAAGGAAAAAGCCCTGATTTGCAGCATTTGCCGATTTCTGTGATTTACATATTTCCATTATGGCCTATGTCAAACTACTAAGTTGTTTAACAGCCGGCTTACAAAATTCCTATTTAACAGTCTCTTCAGTCAGTATGAGCCAGCTCAAGCACTCCACTATTTATGTGTGTGTGTGTGTATATATATATAATTTTCTTTTTATAAAAAATGAAACTTTCTATATATATAACTGAATCATTATGCTGTACACCAGAAACTAACACAACATTATAAATCAACTATACTTCAGTAAAAAAGAAACTTTATATATATATATTCTATTGTAATTTACCCTTTTCACTTACCAAATTAAGTAAACATTTATATATCAGTAGATGTATGTGTATACTGTTAATTTTAAGGATTGGATAATATTTGATTGAATACAAATATTAGGATTTATTTAATCATTGTTTTATTTGGGGACCTTGAGAGTATTCCTAGAATTTTGCTATTACAAATAATGCTATGATTCAAATTCTTACAGTAGGCTTTCTTTCTAAGTGAGTTAATATATGAGAACTATCTTAAAATCTGAATGTGCTATATAAATATTAGTTGTGCTATTTATTATCCTTATTATTTATTGGTCCCATTTTCCCACATAGATTGTGAACACCTCTGAACGCAGCAAGGGTATCCAGCTATCTTTGCATTCCCCACAGTACTTAGCAAAGTATGTCTGTGTTCATTCACATATTTGAGAATAAAGACAATGGTCAGTTTGTTCTGTCTTCTAATCCTTGTGATCAGTGGTCCAATGGTGTGAAGTTGCTAGACCTCAAACAGTCCTCAGTCATTTGAGTTTTTCCTTAGCAAATTCAGTTGGATCAGCTGGACTTCATTATTTTCAACTGAACAAGTTCATCCATGCTGTTTTACATGTTTTCATGTAATATATTAAAGTGCCCATGACCCCAGTGGACAAAATGTAGCAGATGGTTGCCTCTCCCTCCCTCCCTCCCTCTCTCCCTGCCTGCCTCCCTCCCTCTCTCACTTCCTCTCTCTCTTTCTCTCTCTTTCTCTCTCACACACACACACACAAACACAGCCATGTATCTTCCTTCTCCCAGGATCAAATGAACAAAGATAACAATCAAAAAATATGTCCACTTTGTACTCCCTAAAGACGTTCCTGCATTCCCTCTCTTACATCAGGTTTTATTTTATTATTCCAAATTATGCATGTATTCTCGTTGCCATAGTTGCCTAGGGGTGAGAGTACAAAGTTAACAACACTCAGTAAAGTAAATGAAGCCATAAAATCTTCCAGCAATATTATAAGGTTATTATAAAAATGCAAGTTTGGGGGAAAATGTCCTTTAACAATTTTTAAACCTAAGTCCATGAGCATTTTTCTTATTCTTAGGAAAACCCCATTTTCCCCAGCATTTTTCTTATGAAAATTTTTGAACATACAGAAGCCAACTTAAAAGAATTGTATGGTGAACACCCAAGTCCTCACCACCTAGATTCTACAATTAACATTTTATTTCACACATCTATCTGTCTCTCTATTGATCCATCAACCCATTTGTGTGTGTGTATGTGTGCACACTTTAAACAGTACTCTTCCTCTCTTTGATATTCATATAATTATCGAAGAGGAAGATCTAAATTTAAAGCCAGGTCCTCTATCAGTCTCGAAATGTGACTGGTTAGGGCTCCATCCCTAGGGCAGGATTGAAATTCCATAGATAAGATGTAGCTGGCAGACCTCTAGGCATGATTGACTTTAGTCATATCTGTAAAGGCTTAGCAGAGAGAGGTGGAATGTGGTCATCCAGGGGAGTTCTAGAAGGGAAGTTGCTCTGTGCTAGGGGATCTCCCAACCATAGCTGCTGTTTTAACTGAGGTGATTTGGGGCATCTGTTGGATGTAGAAAAGATACATGTGCATATATGTGTGTATAGACGCACACACACCCCCATATACTGTATTATCTCCATAACAATGTGCCAAAGTAGGTTTTATTTGTGCTTTATAACTGAGAGAATGGGCTTGGATTAAATGACTTGTCTGGGGCTGCACAGCTGATAAGTGTCGGGAGGGGAAATTGAACCACTTCCCAGTTCATTCTCTTTTTGGGTTCCTTGCCTCAGTGGCCTTCGGTGTCACCTCCCAGTTGGTTCTCGCTCAGTGCCAGTTGGCCTGCTGGAGGGCCTCAAGAGGACTGTGTGCTCAGACCTGGTCCCTGGAGTAGATGATTTTAGAGTTTAGGATTTGCAGATACTAACTACTATATATAAAGAAGATAAACAGCAAGGTCCGACTGGATAGCACAGGGAACTGTATTCAATACTTTATAGTAGCCTATAATGAAAAAGAATATGAAAAGGAATAGATATATGTGTAAAACTGAATCACTATGCTGTTCTCCAGAAATTAACAGCATTGTAAATCAACTATACTTGAATAAAAAAAAAAGGAAGAAGAAGGGGCTACAGTCCAGAGTAACCAAGTCAAGGCTTTGAGAATCAGGCAAAATATAAGCAGAGTAACAGAAAAGACAACATCCTGTCCGCCTCTGATTATCATGACTTGCTGATTTGTTTCCAGGTGTTTTGAAGTCTTCTGCATCTATTGTCAGTCAAGCCATGTCGAAGAGCCATATGTCAGCATCACCAAGAAGCGACAGATGCCAAAAAATGGTCTCTCAGAGGAGATTGAGAAGGAAGTGGGCCAGGCAGAGGGCAAGCTATTCACCCACCGATCTGCGTTCAGCCGGGCATCAGTGATCCAGGCTTTCCTGGGCTCAGCCCCACAGCTGACCCTGCAGCTGTACATAAGCACACTGCAGCAGAACGTCACTGTCGGAAGATGTATGTATATTTTTTATTTCTACTTGCATTTGGGAATCAAAATGTAGAGCAAAATACAAGGTTTATTTTGTTTCAGGTGAAATTCGTTTATACGTGCATTCAATCCTGATTTTGTTCCAGTTACTGAGTTAAAAACTGAGTGAATTAAAATAATAAGGACATTTATTTTGCTTATGAATCTGCAATCTAAGCAGGGCTCAAAAGGTCTCACCTGTGCTCCACCGTGCATTAGCTGGGGTGGCTCAAAGATGGAGGTTTAGAATCCATTGGAGGCTCATTCAGTCACATTTTTTGTGGTTGATGCTGGCTGTGACTGGGGGCCTCAGATCTTCTAGGCCACTTCATCTCTCCATGTAGGCTAGTTTGGGCTTCCTCACAGCTTGGTGGCTGCTTTCAAGGGCAAGTGTCCTAAGAGCGAGAGAGGGCCAGGGGGAAGAGTAGCCCTTTTGTGATCCAGCCTTGGAAGTCATGCAGCATCACTTCTGCTGCATTTTCTTTGTTGAAGCAGTCAGGAATGCTGTCGAGTTTCAAGGGAACGATAAGAAAGGAAATTCTGACTTTTGTTGGGGAATGGTGGAGTTCTAGAAGTTCACTGCTGTGACCTTTTGGAAAATACAACTTGCCGTAGGCTGAAAATACAGCTGCCGGAGGCCTATTTGGATTTTGCCTTTGTCATTCAGTGATGGTTCTAAACCAGCAGTGACAGTTGGTTGTAGCAGTTTCTTTGTGGTGAATGAAGGTATCAAGAGTCTTCTCCTATCTTCTTGAAGTTCGATAAGTATCTTAGCTTTTAAAGGAACACAGTTCTCTAACCTATGGGCCACTCTGTCATTATCAAATCGAGGGCAGGTTTGATTAAGCCTGATTTCCAAAAACTGTACATGCGTCGGACACAAGTGAAAAATCTTCATATGATAAAAGGAAATAATCCCTCACAAATATTAATATTATAGGTAAATGAAAACCAGATACTCAGGTAAGTTTTGCTATGTGGATAAACAGAAATAACTTAAAAGCCTTAAGTTGAAAAAATATACATTTGAGGTGACACTGAAACTGGAATCTTGTAAAATACTCATATTAATTTCATTTCCCTTAATATTATCCTCTTCCTGCCTATATTCTAGGATGGCTGGTAAAATGTCTTAATTTATGGCTGAGTCACGGTATTTGCATGTCACAGCTATTTCCCTTATCCAGGTTACCTCAGAGTGACTGTGATTCCTAAGACATGTCAGGACTTTAAGTTGAGGTTTTGAACCTTGGCGGATTAACATTTATGTGAAAATGCCTCCCACAGCCCCAGGTGGACAGTAGGTGTTCAATAAATGCAGCAGCATCCTTGTTCTCTGAGGACTTATAACTGGAATGGGCATTGACCAAGATGAGTCCTCTGCATGCTGCTATATCCTTTTCCTGGTTCATTGCTTTTCCATGTGGTGGGGACACTGGGAGAGACCAGATGTGGTGATAGCCTTTTTGATTTCTATAAGTAAATTCAATTTTTTTCTCAAGTTATTGAAAATAAAGATTGTCTTTTAGTTCAGGGGTTGTCAAACAACAGCTTATGGGCCCAGTCAGGCACTGCTTGTTTTCATAAATAAAGTTTTATTGGAACACAGCCAAACCCTTCCATTATTTTTTTTAAACAGAGTTGAGTAGTTGCATAGGTGCAACAGAGAACGTATGGTCCACAAAGCCTAAGGTATTTACTATCTGACTCTTTACAGAAAGTTTGCCCACCCTTGTTACAGCTTTTCAGACAGAATTCTGTTCAGGAAAAGGAAACCTCTCATAAATGTCAGTGCCACAAAGAATACGTGACATGCCCTGACATAATGTAAGTCCTCTGAGAGATACATGATAAATCAAATGTATATAAAAAAGGAAGTGGGCATGGTCCTCTTAAAACTTCATATGGCTGCCATTTATGTAGGTTTTGACTAACCCTAATCACTGTTTTAACATGTCTTAGGAAGAAATCCCTTACTCGCAAGGGGAAAGGTGGTTATAATTGGAGCACAGGCTGGGGTGTGCCACAAAGGCCAACATTGGTAGTGTCCATCGTATGATTAGGAATGCATTTTCTGCAAGGGTCAGACACTTGACTACAGGGTTAAACAACCTAGGGTTATTTTGCTCATCTAACAAGAAATCGGAGGTAGACAGTTGCTGGCATTGTATCAGCTGCTCATAGTGGTAAAGTTGATGTCCCTGCAGTTACATTGGCCTCTTTCCTGGGTTGCTACTGCATAGAATCCACCATAGCTTCATTCATGGTAGGAGGAGAGGATGAAGGCAGAAGGGTGACTGACTGTCTTTCTTCTTTTATAGTAAGTAAAAGCTTTCCCAGTAACCTCCCTAATAGACTTGATTTAGGGCTCCTTGAGCAGGACTGGTCACGTGGTCACCTCAGTGCAAGAAAGGTTAAGAAGGCTGGGTGGAGGACTGATTGCCACCAGTGGCTTAGAGTAACATTCCTTCAACTTCCCTGGTGATTAGGGTCACAGGAGGTGGGAACAAGGGGAGCTTGTTAAAAATGTACGCGTTACCAGGCTTCATTCCTGGAAATTGTGGTGTGATGAGTATGGGATAGGACCCTCAGATATGTCTTTTGACTTTATTTCTCTTTTGTTTTTTTTTAAACAAGTGCTCCAGGTAGTTTTTTATCATCAGCAATGTTTGGGAATACTGGAGTAGACTAGTCACAACCTCATTCAACATTCAAAGTCTATAACCTTCTCTTCTCTCTGGTTCTCTGCTCACTGAACAAGCAGTTATGAACTTGGCCTTGGCAGAGCTTGCAAGACAGGTGGAGCTGGCCACATGGTCCACTGGAGAGTTTTTTTAAATTGCACTATAATGCGTATAACATAAAATGTACCATTTCTAAGTGTACAGTTCAGTGGAATTTAGGATATTCACAATGTTGTGCAATCATCACTACTATCTAATTGTAGAATATTTTCGTTACATTGACAAGAAATCCTGTTCTCATTAGCAGTCCCTCCTCATTTCCCCTCCCCCAGCCCTTGGCAGTCACTGATCTACTTTCTGTCTCTACGGACTTGCCTATTGTGCATATTTCATATCAATGGAATCGTACACTATTGGAGAGTTCTTTTTTTTCCGATAGTCAGTGAATAATGGATGCTGTCCGTGAGCTTCAGTCTTTGAGTCAAGTCAGCTCTCAGCAGGCGTTGATCAAATCTCTGGACCTTAGAGGAAAGGTTGGTCTGAGGCCCAGGTGAGCACACCAAGGTTACTGTGTTCTATGAAGGCCCCTGTAGCCTGCCACTTGGCCAGCCTGGATCTCAAAGTGCCTGTGTCTCTTCCACTCAAGGTGGGAATGTTGGTAATAATCCTGACTGTTTCTCAAACCCTTGCTTTGCGCCAGGCACCATGATTGGCCTGATTGTGTTTCACGGTCACAGCATCCCTGTGAGGTAGATATGATTACCTCCATCTGACTGAAGTTGAAAATTGTACCCATGTACCAGAGGAGGCAGAATTTGGGATTTGATTTATGTGAATTCATTCATGAATTCAGTGAATATGTATTGAATATGTTCTGTGTTCCTGACCTCATGCTGGGCTCTGAGGATAAGGTGGTGAATAAGGTGAACAGGCCCTTTTGGAACAGGATAGACGACTGGGAAACAAATAATTAGTCATATATTTATTTTATTTCAGGTATATCTTGCCAAGTGAAGGTCCCGTGTGAGGGTATATTGGGGGAATTTCACCAAGTCTGGGAGATGAGGGAAAATATTCCCAGAGGAACTTCAGTTTAAACTCAAATCTGGTAGGTGAGGAGTAGCCAAGTGAAGGAAAAGCAGGAAAGAACATCCTGGGATTTCAAACTTTATCCCAAAGGCAATAGGAAATCACTGATGAGTTTTAGACAACACAGTGTCATGATCAGATTTAGTTTTAGAAACTAATTACTCTGGAAAATGGATTAGAAGGGAGTGAGAGAAGAAACAGAGGGACCAGTAAGCGGGCTGCTGCAGTTGTCAAGGTGAGAATAGTCATGACTTGGGCTGGAATAGCAGAACTGGGTTATGGGCGCAATATTAATGATGTCAAAGTGGAACAAGGTGATGATTGATTGGGAAGGTGAGGCAGAGGGAGATGTGAAAAATGGCTCCCAGGTCCTGACATGGGCAGTCGTAGCCATGGATCCCCATGTGTGTTGGTCAAACAGCCGGGAGAAGGAGCAGGCTTGTAGTGTATGCTTTTGCTTTCAGTTTCAGACTTTTTTTTTAATAAACACATATAAAAAAATTTTTTTAACTTGTGAGAAAATCAGCAGATGTTATAACCAGCTTAAAAGGAGAATCCAAAGTATGGAAACAGGAATATTGACTAAGGATATTGAAACCAATGTGTATGTAAATGGAAGTAAAACCTGTTTGATTACAGCATGAGTAAGGTGAGAGTTGAACCTCTGTTGCATTAGGGGTTGTGCATGTCAGTCAGTGACCTACAGCTTACAAAGGGATATAAATGAACTCAAAGACAATGCAGGGCTCTAGTCAGGTAATCTGGAGTGGCGTCATAAAGACAGGATGATGTTTCCATGGAAACATTCATTTTTCTTGCTAGACTGTTAAAAAGTCAAGTAGGAAGTTGGAGTTCTCTGAAAAAGAGGGTCCAGTCAACAGAGAGACTGGGTTCCTATCACACATATTTCTAGTCCTGTCCTGATCAGGGCCCAGTTGACACTGATGACATCACAAAGTCTGAGTTGTCACAAAGGCAATGACCAATAAGAGGCTGGTGCCCAGGGAGACAGCAGGCAGAAGTTCACTGGCATCTCTAGAGGTCAGGCTAGGGGGACAGTCTAGCTAGATCCATCTGAGCAAAACATGCCAAGACCATGTTAGTCTTAAAAAGTAGGTAGATTTTCTCCTGCTCTGTAATAGCTGCGCTACAGGGTTCCCCAATAGCTGTGTGGACCCAACACCTGAGCTCTTCCGCCCGTCTTCCTGGCCGGC